GGGCAGAATTAAACTCTACTGAAGAAATACGATAAAAATATAGACTTAGAAACTAGCGACATCTCGTATCGGGTAGACTTACTAAACTAGGTTACGCCATCTGGCGTCGAGGTAATGCAATAATGTCGTCAGTTTTGACGATAATTAGTTTCAACAAATGACGCTAGAAGGCGCTCAACGCCATTAACATCAACAGCAGCGTCTACGGTGCAATTTCCAATTTATTTATCTACTAGTTAAATTAAGTAATCGTACTCAACTGATGTTAGCGATAATTTTGGGAGAACTTTATGACGCTTTGGTTTCCGAAAAATTCATAATTTTAATGTTTCTGGCCTGATAACAGAGAAAATTTAAATGTTCACGTTTTTAAGTGATGTACACTTTAGTATTATTTTAATTTCGATCTATGGTCCTTTTAACATATTTTCTCTCTTCCCAGCCCGGTCTGGTTTCTAACGAAAGCCACAGTCCTCCGACAGCATATGAAGATATAGACCTAGGTGATATAATAACTTCTTTCGGAGTTTTAGGACCAAACGTCACTTTGTATTTCTTTAGTAGAGTGATAAGACCGGTCATAGCTTGCATTTTAGCGAAGCGATTTCCTGTTAAAAAACATTTCAACATTTAAGTTTCATTAAAACAGTTCTAAAATAGCAGCAAGAATAACAAAATTTTAAATAATATTATGGTGTACTAATTACACTATAATAAATGATTATTTGCTTCTAACTTTCGACCGAAATGTCACAATGATAAAGCGATATTATCGGATCGGACTTATGTAGTGCACAAGAGACATCCTAAGTGGTCCGAGTTTTACTAGATTTGTAGATGCAGGGAGTAAAGGCGTGTATAGTAAATGAAATAGAAGAGTAAATAAATAGATAACAAAACTCACCTAAACAGAGCCTGTGACCCTCTCCGAAAGGCAGGTAGCTGTAAGGCTTAACCGAATCCCTGTTCTCGGGCAGGAATCTTTCCGGCATGAATCGATGTGGGTCGGAGAAGTGTTCTTCGCTGCGTTGGATATGGTACGCTGGAATTTGCACCCGCAGACCGCGCTCCAGGACTAAACCTGGAAGACAAGTTCAAAATTTATTTTTATGGTATCACGCAGGGTTCAGAGATAATTGTCAAAGAAAATAAATACTTGATAATTTCGAACTATGATATCAAGTATCCCTGTATACTGTAAGCATCGAGTATTTACGTAGACGAAATGTCATTTAATTTGTTTGAAAACTATTCTGCCATATCATTACGGTGACAACTGCACTCCGATTGGCCAGGCTGAATTCGAAACAATTGACGGGTGCCGTCAATTGTTTCACTTCAAATCGACCAGTTTAACTTGAGCTTGCTATAATGGACGAAAATTGAAAAACTACATATTTAATTACCGATGAAATGTGATTCCGTTTGTTTTGTTAGAGATGTTATCTTTATTACAATAAATACAGAATATTTTTGGAATATACGGAGACGTAATAGAGGTCAGTTGTTGGCGCTGTACTATTTCAGCTTTCTTAATTTGTGATTTCAGTGCAAACGAGAGTTGATCTTTAAAAGTGACAGAAGGCACATTTGCCTGAATTGCCAGGGATGGATGGCCCTTATTTCGTCTCTATTTCTGGTCATATACTCGATGACTGTAAGTAACCCAGGTATCTCGCACACACTCGCACTCGCATGCACACGCACAAACACTCTTACAAACATGCAGCGTAAACTCTTATACCTATTGTTAGGTTATGAATCACTTAAAATATGTTTTTTTTGTATTTTATTCCCTTTAATTTTTGTTGCTAAGAACCTAAAAGTTATTCGGTTATTCGTACTTGCTTTGCTCACCACGAGACAGGTGTAGCCTGGTGTGGGAATCTTAGTTCAAATATGTAATTTGTTCATCCTAAATTATGGTAAATAAATAAATAAAATAAATAAATAAGTGTCAACACAAGTCGTGCTCATACTATAAAATAATAGAATAGTAATGGTCAGATCACTGTTTGGCGGTAGAAATAGATAAGGTGGCAGTACTTCTCCGGGCGAACCCTTTGGCAAGGAACACTACTGCTACCCGCTAAGTACATAAATACATACATAAATTCACGCTCTTGTTCCACAGGAGGGGTAGGCAGAGACTACAGAACGCTACCTTACTCTATTCTGACACATGTCTCGAGCCTCACACACATCAACTACCCTTTTCATACAACTTCTTTTATTCTTGTTACTTCGGATCCCTGCCTTTTTGAGCACCTCACTGATCTGGTCAATATAAGTCCTTCTTGGGACTTCTATAAGTTCTTCTTGGGAAAACTACGTTTGCATCATAAATTTGTTTGGTAATTCTTTCTACATCCATCAGCTCTACACGCCAAACCACCTCAACATTCCTTTCTCTATTCTAGGCCCTGATTATGTTCAGTGTATTCAAATCGGTGTAGCCCATCCGTGTATCGAAATCAGACGGGTTTCCGAGCGAGAAGATGAACCTGATTCCTACTATATCTTTCTAATTTGTGAGATAAATCGACTATTGTTCCGATTTGAAACGTCAAAAGTTTCCGATCGGCCAGTTGTGAATCGCAATTATGCGCCTCGACTCGGAAAAGACGCAGTTTCCGATCGAGAGTAATAGTAAATAGGTAATGCCGCCGATATCAATAGAATCTTTGTCCTGCAGAAACGTGCAGTTAGGGCAATTTACAATCTGGGCCCCAAAGTATCTTTGAGAGATAAGTTTAAGGAAATTAACATTCTTATGTTAAAAGGAATAGTAATTTATTTATGAAAAATAGTGACAGACATAACATTAATACGAGGAATAAAAATAAACTAGCTTTTCTTGATAGTCGTCTTCACAAAGTCAAACAATCATTTAAGGGGCAATGTATACGCTTCTATAACAAGATTCCGGTTGATATACAAAATTTGCCTTTCACGAGGTTTAAAACTATAGTCAAACAAAAACTTTATACTAAAGGTTATTATACAACTTCTGCGTACTTGGATGACAAAAATCCGTGGTAGTAACCCGTTTAGTTCATGAAGGTAGTCTCGATCTCTGATGTTCCAAATAAAAAAAATATTGTAAAATGTTATTTACAAAGAGCAACCCCTAGAGTGTCTTGCTCATTCTTCTCAGGGGAATCTGCCTTACGAATGAGCGGTAGAGTTTAACCATTGTGACGATTTCAAGTGTAATAATGCTTACCTATGAAATAAAGATCATTTTGAATTTGAATTTGAATTTGAATTAGAGAGGCAATCAAAATCAAGCTGCTGGTCACCACATCTCCTTTCACACCACATCTTTCACGTATTATTGTATTCTTCACTCTATCACTCAACTTTATTCCACGAATTATCCTCAAAGATCTCATTTCCACTGCATTAATTCTACTTTCATGCTTCTTCTGTCGTACCCAAGTCAGAGAACAAAAAAGTAAAGAGAATGGACACTCTCCGCCCCTCCCTAGCTTTAGATGCCGAATCACGCCCCGCACATTGACGGTCACATTGACTGAATGGCAACAAGGCTGTCGGCGAGCCGTTTTCGCTCTACGACGGCTTTGATATTTGAATATAGTTTTCATTTATTCATTACGAAAGTTGTACGTTAATATATAAGATCTTTTTTTTTTTTTTTTATAATAACGCACACACTCAACACAGCCGCGCACTAGGGAAACCCTGTGTCGCGGGTGCCATGGACACACACATAGACAACCACAAATTACACCCAAACTCACGAGAGAAATAAATGTAGGACATACAAATATTTCTCCCGGCCCGGGAATCGAACCTGAGACCTCTGAGTGGCAGTCCGGCATGGTAACCGTTCGACCACGGAGGCAGTCAAATTGTACGTTACTATTTATAATGGTCGTGAATTATGCTCTGTACGGCTGTTTATGGTCATCTAAACGGGATAAAGAGAGGAGTATCTTTCGTTTTCCGAAAGATGAAACGAAGTAAGTAAAAAAGTTATGTCTGAGAGTCATTCAGTTATTGTTTTTTTTTTCATTAATATAGTGCAGAGTATTAAATTCGATATAAATCATGTGTAATTATTAGGATTCTATTAATGAAACAGATAACAGATTCTTGTTCGATGTGATTCGCCTTCACGCACACATTTGCGCGTGTGCAGATAGCGCTTTACTGTAGTAGTAGTAGGTAAATAACTTTCGACTGTTGTTTGGAGTGAACGGGTGAGTGGGCAAGTGAACGTGGCTACAGCTCCGGTACCTATCTGGAAAATAGGGAGGGTGCTGTACTTGCACCCGGGGCGGCTCACCGAAGGCACTAGCCTTACAGAAAACCGTAAGTACGTGCAAGCGTGCTGATCCGGGGTTAGGACCTGACTTAGATGCCCGTCATAATGCTCTTCCCGCATAACCAAGAGGTTGAAAGGGAGGCACTATAAACAAAACTTATGTAGAAAGATATGGGACTGTTGTTTGGAGTGTCCGGGGTGTACCCAAGTTACCAAACTTGCTAAGTAGGACTCTAAAATAAGCACCAGTCGTTGCATTTTGTTGTTGACTCTGCAAATTGTGTCTGCTTTAAACGCTATACATATAAATGTGAAAAAGTACAATTTATAACAACGATTGTTGATGTTACATTTTGCCCACCACGGTCACATATTTTTTTCAATGGCTTCCTAATCTCCAAATATGGCGACACGTGAAATTACATTTACGTAAGGTGGAATCAATATTCTTACCTACTGCGATGAAAAGCTGATCTTGCTTTTGAAAATCGCTGTGATGCACAGAATAGTATATTCGGCCTTATCGGATATATAATATCAAGTGACGGGACGAAGAAGTCGTGCGCCTGATGGTAAGCTAACACCTGTCCATAACTGCCACTCAGTGCTTTAAATCGCAAAGATCTGATGAGCACTGTCACTGCGCCCGTCACCCTGAGACATAAGTTGACAAGTCCCATGTGCCTGTAATTTCACCAGCACGCTTACCCTTTAAAACCGTAACACAGTAATGCTAACAATACTGCTTGGCGGCAGAAATAGGTAAGGTGACAGTATTTCCCTGGACGAACTCTTTTATAAAGAGCTCTACTGCTAGCAAATAATATTCGGCCAGGAGCGTGACCGAATAGCGAGATATTCGGTCAAACGATTCGGCCTCAATAAGTTTTATTTTGGTTTGCACAAGTATACTGGGTGATTTTGTTTAGCGTTTGTTTAATCATGACTAAACTACATAATAAGAAAGTTTTCATGTGAATTGTTACCTTTTTGGATCACTTACAAAAATAACTCAGTTATGTTACAAATGCTTTGAACTTTTAGGGAAATAAGCATTGACTTACAATTATATGGACGTCGGGTCCGCGCTAAAAAGTGTCCGAACTTATAGGGCGTTAAAATCGTATACAGAGCGTCATTCACGCTTTAGTCTTGGTTTGTTCGACTGACAGCGAAGCAAGCAAAATTAGACAGTACTGCGATGACATTACAATTTAAATTCAACGTTTTAGCTTTTCAAATTCCTTTACATGTCACTACGTTTAAATAGGTTGACTTGGGACATTTTTTTCGGGGTTTTTGTATTAGACCCGTCGTCCATTTATTTGTAAGTCAATGGAAATAAGCGAAAAATTGTTCTGTCTGTGGCTTATAATGTGTGAGAAGTTTATTGTATCGACGTCTTACTACCAAGATTTACTATTTATTTTTTTTGTGAGTTTACTCCACTAGTTTGTTATAATTATTAATACAAAGATCGAACACCAAGAAAAATTCCTACCGAAGGAAAACCAGCGCAGCGTCTTCAGCATAGCGACTGTGAACTGGCAACCGGTACTGTCTCAATTTTGACGATTTTACACGATGGAGAAAAAAATATTTGCGTCATTTATATAGCATCTGATTCAATGATATTAAACTTTGTGATCTGGTTTATTAAATAAAAATACGTAGTGTATGTGTAAAAAAAATCTACGTATTTTTATTTAATAAATCAGATGCTATATAAATGACGCAAACAATTTTTTTCTTCATTCTGTCAAGTTGTCAAAATTGAGATAGTACCGATGTCAG